CACGCTCACCTGCGTTGCTAGCACGCTCACCTGCGTTGCTAGCACGCTCACCTGCGTTGCTAGCACGCTCTGCTGCGTTGCTAGCACGCTCTGCTGCGTTGCTAGCACGCTCTGCTGCGTTGCTAGCACGCTCTGCTGCGTTGCTAGCACGCTCTGCTGCGTTGCTAGCACGCTCTGCTGCGTTGCTAGCACGCTCTGCTGCGTTGCTAGCACGCTCTGCTGCGTTGCTAGCACGCTCTGCTGCGTTGCTAGCACGCTCTGCTGCGTTGCTAGCACGCTCTGCTGCGTTGCTAGCACGCTCACCTGCGTTGCTAGCACGCTCACCTGCGTTGCTAGCACGCTCACCTGCGTTGCTAGCACGCTCACCTGCGTTGCTAGCACGCTCACCTGCGTTGCTAGCACGCTCTGCTGCGTTGCTAGCACGCTCTGCTGCGTTGCTAGCACGCTCTGCTGCGTTGCTAGCACGCTCTGCTGCGTTGCTAGCACGCTCAGCTGCGTTGCTAGCACGCTCTGCTGCGTTGCTAGCACGCTCTGCTGCGTTGCTAGCACGCTCACCTGCGTTGCTAGCACGCTCACCTGCGTTGCTAGCACGCTCAGCTGCGTTGCTAGCACGCTCTGCTGCGTTGCTAGCACGCTCTGCTGCGTTGCTAGCACGCTCTGCTGCGTTGCTAGCACGCTCTGCTGCGTTGCTAGCACGCTCTGCTGCGTTGCTAGCACGCTCTGCTGCGTTGCTAGCACGCTCTGCTGCGTTGCTAGCACGCTCACCTGCGTTGCTAGCACGCTCACCTGCGTTGCTAGCACGCTCACCTGCGTTGCTAGCACGCTCACCTGCGTTGCTAGCACGCTCACCTGCGTTGCTAGCACGCTCACCTGCGTTGCTAGCACGCTCACCTGCGTTGCTAGCACGCTCACCTGCGTTGCTAGCACGCTCACCTGCGTTGCTAGCACGCTCACCTGCGTTGCTAGCACGCTCACCTGCGTTGCTAGCACGCTCACCTGCGTTGCTAGCACGCTCACCTGCGTTGCTAGCACGCTCACCTGCGTTGCTAGCACGCTCACCTGCGTTGCTAGCACGCTCACCTGCGTTGCTAGCACGCTCACCTGCGTTGCTAGCACGCTCACCTGCGTTGCTAGCACGCTCACCTGCGTTGCTAGCACGCTCACCTGCGTTGCTAGCACGCTCTGCTGCGTTGCTAGCACGCTCTGCTGCGTTGCTAGCACGCTCTGCTGCGTTGCTAGCACGCTCTGCTGCGTTGCTAGCACGCTCTGCTGCGTTGCTAGCACGCTCTGCTGCGTTGCTAGCACGCTCTGCTGCGTTGCTAGCACGCTCACCTGCGTTGCTAGCACGCTCACCTGCGTTGCTAGCACGCTCACCTGCGTTGCTAGCACGCTCACCTGCGTTGCTAGCACGCTCACCTGCGTTGCTAGCACGCTCTGCTGCGTTGCTAGCACGCTCACCTGCGTTGCTAGCACGCTCACCTGCGTTGCTAGCACGCTCACCTGCGTTGCTAGCACGCTCACCTGCGTTGCTAGCACGCTCACCTGCGTTGCTAGCACGCTCACCTGCGTTGCTAGCACGCTCACCTGCGTTGCTAGCACGCTCACCTGCGTTGCTAGCACGCTCACCTGCGTTGCTAGCACGCTCACCTGCGTTGCTAGCACGCTCACCTGCGTTGCTAGCACGCTCACCTGCGTTGCTAGCACGCTCACCTGCGTTGCTAGCACGCTCACCTGCGTTGCTAGCACGCTCACCTGCGTTGCTAGCACGCTCACCTGCGTTGCTAGCACGCTCTGCTGCGTTGCTAGCACGCTCTGCTGCGTTGCTAGCACGCTCTGCTGCGTTGCTAGCACGCTCTGCTGCGTTGCTAGCACGCTCTGCTGCGTTGCTAGCACGCTCTGCTGCGTTGCTAGCACGCTCTGCTGCGTTGCTAGCACGCTCAGCTGCGTTGCTAGCACGCTCAGCTGCGTTGCTAGCACGCTCAGCTGCGTTGCTAGCACGCTCTGCTGCGTTGCTAGCACGCTCTGCTGCGTTGCTAGCACGCTCTGCTGCGTTGCTAGCACGCTCTGCTGCGTTGCTAGCACGCTCTGCTGCGTTGCTAGCACGCTCTGCTGCGTTGCTAGCACGCTCTGCTGCGTTGCTAGCACGCTCTGCTGCGTTGCTAGCACGCTCAGCTGCGTTGCTAGCACGCTCTGCTGCGTTGCTAGCACGCTCTGCTGCGTTGCTAGCACGCTCTGCTGCGTTGCTAGCACGCTCTGCTGCGTTGCTAGCACGCTCTGCTGCGTTGCTAGCACGCTCTGCTGCGTTGCTAGCACGCTCTGCTGCGTTGCTAGCACGCTCACCTGCGTTGCTAGCACGCTCACCTGCGTTGCTAGCACGCTCACCTGCGTTGCTAGCACGCTCACCTGCGTTGCTAGCACGCTCTGCTGCGTTGCTAGCACGCTCTGCTGCGTTGCTAGCACGCTCACCTGCGTTGCTAGCACGCTCACCTGCGTTGCTAGCACGCTCACCTGCGTTGCTAGCACGCTCACCTGCGTTGCTAGCACGCTCACCTGCGTTGCTAGCACGCTCTGCTGCGTTGCTAGCACGCTCTGCTGCGTTGCTAGCACGCTCTGCTGCGTTGCTAGCACGCTCTGCTGCGTTGCTAGCACGCTCTGCTGCGTTGCTAGCACGCTCTGCTGCGTTGCTAGCACGCTCTGCTGCGTTGCTAGCACGCTCTGCTGCGTTGCTAGCACGCTCTGCTGCGTTGCTAGCACGCTCACCTGCGTTGCTAGCACGCTCACCTGCGTTGCTAGCACGCTCACCTGCGTTGCTAGCACGCTCACCTGCGTTGCTAGCACGCTCACCTGCGTTGCTAGCACGCTCACCTGCGTTGCTAGCACGCTCACCTGCGTTGCTAGCACGCTCACCTGCGTTGCTAGCACGCTCACCTGCGTTGCTAGCACGCTCACCTGCGTTGCTAGCACGCTCACCTGCGTTGCTAGCACGCTCACCTGCGTTGCTAGCACGCTCACCTGCGTTGCTAGCACGCTCACCTGCGTTGCTAGCACGCTCACCTGCGTTGCTAGCACGCTCACCTGCGTTGCTAGCACGCTCACCTGCGTTGCTAGCACGCTCACCTGCGTTGCTAGCACGCTCACCTGCGTTGCTAGCACGCTCTGCTGCGTTGCTAGCACGCTCTGCTGCGTTGCTAGCACGCTCTGCTGCGTTGCTAGCACGCTCTGCTGCGTTGCTAGCACGCTCTGCTGCGTTGCTAGCACGCTCTGCTGCGTTGCTAGCACGCTCTGCTGCGTTGCTAGCACGCTCTGCTGCGTTGCTAGCACGCTCTGCTGCGTTGCTAGCACGCTCTGCTGCGTTGCTAGCACGCTCTGCTGCGTTGCTAGCACGCTCAGCTGCGTTGCTAGCACGCTCACCTGCGTTGCTAGCACGCTCACCTGCGTTGCTAGCACGCTCTGCTGCGTTGCTAGCACGCTCTGCTGCGTTGCTAGCACGCTCTGCTGCGTTGCTAGCACGCTCTGCTGCGTTGCTAGCACGCTCTGCTGCGTTGCTAGCACGCTCTGCTGCGTTGCTAGCACGCTCTGCTGCGTTGCTAGCACGCTCTGCTGCGTTGCTAGCACGCTCACCTGCGTTGCTAGCACGCTCACCTGCGTTGCTAGCACGCTCTGCTGCGTTGCTAGCACGCTCTGCTGCGTTGCTAGCACGCTCTGCTGCGTTGCTAGCACGCTCTGCTGCGTTGCTAGCACGCTCTGCTGCGTTGCTAGCACGCTCAGCTGCGTTGCTAGCACGCTCAGCTGCGTTGCTAGCACGCTCACCTGCGTTGCTAGCACGCTCACCTGCGTTGCTAGCACGCTCACCTGCGTTGCTAGCACGCTCACCTGCGTTGCTAGCACGCTCTGCTGCGTTGCTAGCACGCTCTGCTGCGTTGCTAGCACGCTCTGCTGCGTTGCTAGCACGCTCTGCTGCGTTGCTAGCACGCTCACCTGCGTTGCTAGCACGCTCACCTGCGTTGCTAGCACGCTCACCTGCGTTGCTAGCACGCTCACCTGCGTTGCTAGCACGCTCACCTGCGTTGCTAGCACGCTCACCTGCGTTGCTAGCACGCTCACCTGCGTTGCTAGCACGCTCTGCTGCGTTGCTAGCACGCTCTGCTGCGTTGCTAGCACGCTCTGCTGCGTTGCTAGCACGCTCTGCTGCGTTGCTAGCACGCTCTGCTGCGTTGCTAGCACGCTCAGCTGCGTTGCTAGCACGCTCAGCTGCGTTGCTAGCACGCTCACCTGCGTTGCTAGCACGCTCTGCTGCGTTGCTAGCACGCTCACCTGCGTTGCTAGCACGCTCACCTGCGTTGCTAGCACGCTCTGCTGCGTTGCTAGCACGCTCTGCTGCGTTGCTAGCACGCTCTGCTGCGTTGCTAGCACGCTCTGCTGCGTTGCTAGCACGCTCACCTGCGTTGCTAGCACGCTCACCTGCGTTGCTAGCACGCTCACCTGCGTTGCTAGCACGCTCACCTGCGTTGCTAGCACTTTCTGCTGCGTTGCTAGCACGCTCACCTGCGTTGCTAGCACGCTCACCTGCGTTGCTAGCACGCTCACCTGCGTTGCTAGCACGCTCACCTGCGTTGCTAGCACGCTCACCTGCGTTGCTAGCACGCTCACCTGCGTTGCTAGCACGCTCACCTGCGTTGCTAGCACGCTCACCTGCGTTGCTAGCACGCTCACCTGCGTTGCTAGCACGCTCTGCTGCGTTGCTAGCACGCTCACCTGCGTTGCTAGCACGCTCACCTGCGTTGCTAGCACGCTCACCTGCGTTGCTAGCACGCTCTGCTGCGTTGCTAGCACGCTCTGCTGCGTTGCTAGCACGCTCACCTGCGTTGCTAGCACGCTCACCTGCGTTGCTAGCACGCTCACCTGCGTTGCTAGCACGCTCACCTGCGTTGCTAGCACGCTCACCTGCGTTGCTAGCACTGCGTTGCTAGCACGCTCACCTGCGTTGCTAGCACGCTCACCTGCGTTGCTAGCACGCTCACCTGCGTTGCTAGCACGCTCACCTGCGTTGCTAGCACGCTCACCTGCGTTGCTAGCACGCTCACCTGCGTTGCTAGCACGCTCACCTGCGTTGCTAGCACGCTCTGCTGCGTTGCTAGCACGCTCTGCTGCGTTGCTAGCACGCTCTGCTGCGTTGCTAGCACGCTCACCTGCGTTGCTAGCACGCTCACCTGCGTTGCTAGCACGCTCACCTGCGTTGCTAGCACGCTCACCTGCGTTGCTAGCACGCTCTGCTGCGTTGCTAGCACGCTCTGCTGCGTTGCTAGCACGCTCTGCTGCGTTGCTAGCACGCTCTGCTGCGTTGCTAGCACGCTCTGCTGCGTTGCTAGCACGCTCTGCTGCGTTGCTAGCACGCTCTGCTGCGTTGCTAGCACGCTCTGCTGCGTTGCTAGCACGCTCTGCTGCGTTGCTAGCACGCTCTGCTGCGTTGCTAGCACGCTCAGCTGCGTTGCTAGCACGCTCTGCTGCGTTGCTAGCACGCTCTGCTGCGTTGCTAGCACGCTCACCTGCGTTGCTAGCACGCTCAGCTGCGTTGCTAGCACGCTCTGCTGCGTTGCTAGCACGCTCTGCTGCGTTGCTAGCACGCTCTGCTGCGTTGCTAGCACGCTCTGCTGCGTTGCTAGCACGCTCTGCTGCGTTGCTAGCACGCTCTGCTGCGTTGCTAGCACGCTCTGCTGCGTTGCTAGCACGCTCTGCTGCGTTGCTAGCACGCTCTGCTGCGTTGCTAGCACGCTCACCTGCGTTGCTAGCACGCTCACCTGCGTTGCTAGCACGCTCACCTGCGTTGCTAGCACGCTCACCTGCGTTGCTAGCACGCTCACCTGCGTTGCTAGCACGCTCACCTGCGTTGCTAGCACGCTCACCTGCGTTGCTAGCACGCTCACCTGCGTTGCTAGCACGCTCACCTGCGTTGCTAGCACGCTCACCTGCGTTGCTAGCACGCTCACCTGCGTTGCTAGCACGCTCACCTGCGTTGCTAGCACGCTCACCTGCGTTGCTAGCACGCTCACCTGCGTTGCTAGCACGCTCACCTGCGTTGCTAGCACGCTCACCTGCGTTGCTAGCACGCTCACCTGCGTTGCTAGCACGCTCACCTGCGTTGCTAGCACGCTCACCTGCGTTGCTAGCACGCTCACCTGCGTTGCTAGCACGCTCTGCTGCGTTGCTAGCACGCTCTGCTGCGTTGCTAGCACGCTCTGCTGCGTTGCTAGCACGCTCTGCTGCGTTGCTAGCACGCTCTGCTGCGTTGCTAGCACGCTCTGCTGCGTTGCTAGCACGCTCTGCTGCGTTGCTAGCACGCTCTGCTGCGTTGCTAGCACGCTCTGCTGCGTTGCTAGCACGCTCTGCTGCGTTGCTAGCACGCTCTGCTGCGTTGCTAGCACGCTCACCTGCGTTGCTAGCACGCTCACCTGCGTTGCTAGCACGCTCACCTGCGTTGCTAGCACGCTCACCTGCGTTGCTAGCACGCTCACCTGCGTTGCTAGCACGCTCACCTGCGTTGCTAGCACGCTCACCTGCGTTGCTAGCACGCTCACCTGCGTTGCTAGCACGCTCACCTGCGTTGCTAGCACGCTCACCTGCGTTGCTAGCACGCTCACCTGCGTTGCTAGCACGCTCACCTGCGTTGCTAGCACGCTCACCTGCGTTGCTAGCACGCTCACCTGCGTTGCTAGCACGCTCTGCTGCGTTGCTAGCACGCTCTGCTGCGTTGCTAGCACGCTCTGCTGCGTTGCTAGCACGCTCTGCTGCGTTGCTAGCACGCTCTGCTGCGTTGCTAGCACGCTCTGCTGCGTTGCTAGCACGCTCTGCTGCGTTGCTAGCACGCTCACCTGCGTTGCTAGCACGCTCACCTGCGTTGCTAGCACGCTCACCTGCGTTGCTAGCACGCTCACCTGCGTTGCTAGCACGCTCACCTGCGTTGCTAGCACGCTCACCTGCGTTGCTAGCACGCTCACCTGCGTTGCTAGCACGCTCACCTGCGTTGCTAGCACGCTCACCTGCGTTGCTAGCACGCTCACCTGCGTTGCTAGCACGCTCACCTGCGTTGCTAGCACGCTCACCTGCGTTGCTAGCACGCTCACCTGCGTTGCTAGCACGCTCACCTGCGTTGCTAGCACGCTCACCTGCGTTGCTAGCACGCTCACCTGCGTTGCTAGCACGCTCACCTGCGTTGCTAGCACGCTCTGCTGCGTTGCTAGCACGCTCTGCTGCGTTGCTAGCACGCTCTGCTGCGTTGCTAGCACGCTCTGCTGCGTTGCTAGCACGCTCTGCTGCGTTGCTAGCACGCTCTGCTGCGTTGCTAGCACGCTCTGCTGCGTTGCTAGCACGCTCTGCTGCGTTGCTAGCACGCTCACCTGCGTTGCTAGCACGCTCAGCTGCGTTGCTAGCACGCTCAGCTGCGTTGCTAGCACGCTCTGCTGCGTTGCTAGCACGCTCTGCTGCGTTGCTAGCACGCTCTGCTGCGTTGCTAGCACGCTCTGCTGCGTTGCTAGCACGCTCTGCTGCGTTGCTAGCACGCTCTGCTGCGTTGCTAGCACGCTCTGCTGCGTTGCTAGCACGCTCACCTGCGTTGCTAGCACGCTCACCTGCGTTGCTAGCACGCTCACCTGCGTTGCTAGCACGCTCACCTGCGTTGCTAGCACGCTCACCTGCGTTGCTAGCACGCTCACCTGCGTTGCTAGCACGCTCACCTGCGTTGCTAGCACGCTCACCTGCGTTGCTAGCACGCTCACCTGCGTTGCTAGCACGCTCACCTGCGTTGCTAGCACGCTCACCTGCGTTGCTAGCACGCTCACCTGCGTTGCTAGCACGCTCACCTGCGTTGCTAGCACGCTCACCTGCGTTGCTAGCACGCTCACCTGCGTTGCTAGCACGCTCACCTGCGTTGCTAGCACGCTCACCTGCGTTGCTAGCACGCTCACCTGCGTTGCTAGCACGCTCACCTGCGTTGCTAGCACGCTCTGCTGCGTTGCTAGCACGCTCTGCTGCGTTGCTAGCACGCTCTGCTGCGTTGCTAGCACGCTCTGCTGCGTTGCTAGCACGCTCTGCTGCGTTGCTAGCACGCTCTGCTGCGTTGCTAGCACGCTCTGCTGCGTTGCTAGCACGCTCAGCTGCGTTGCTAGCACGCTCTGCTGCGTTGCTAGCACGCTCTGCTGCGTTGCTAGCACGCTCACCTGCGTTGCTAGCACGCTCAGCTGCGTTGCTAGCACGCTCAGCTGCGTTGCTAGCACGCTCTGCTGCGTTGCTAGCACGCTCTGCTGCGTTGCTAGCACGCTCTGCTGCGTTGCTAGCACGCTCTGCTGCGTTGCTAGCACGCTCTGCTGCGTTGCTAGCACGCTCTGCTGCGTTGCTAGCACGCTCTGCTGCGTTGCTAGCACGCTCTGCTGCGTTGCTAGCACGCTCTGCTGCGTTGCTAGCACGCTCTGCTGCGTTGCTAGCACGCTCTGCTGCGTTGCTAGCACGCTCAGCTGCGTTGCTAGCACGCTCTGCTGCGTTGCTAGCACGCTCACCTGCGTTGCTAGCACGCTCAGCTGCGTTGCTAGCACGCTCAGCTGCGTTGCTAGCACGCTCTGCTGCGTTGCTAGCACGCTCTGCTGCGTTGCTAGCACGCTCTGCTGCGTTGCTAGCACGCTCTGCTGCGTTGCTAGCACGCTCTGCTGCGTTGCTAGCACGCTCTGCTGCGTTGCTAGCACGCTCTGCTGCGTTGCTAGCACGCTCTGCTGCGTTGCTAGCACGCTCTGCTGCGTTGCTAGCACGCTCACCTGCGTTGCTAGCACGCTCACCTGCGTTGCTAGCACGCTCACCTGCGTTGCTAGCACGCTCACCTGCGTTGCTAGCACGCTCACCTGCGTTGCTAGCACGCTCACCTGCGTTGCTAGCACGCTCACCTGCGTTGCTAGCACGCTCACCTGCGTTGCTAGCACGCTCACCTGCGTTGCTAGCACGCTCACCTGCGTTGCTAGCACGCTCACCTGCGTTGCTAGCACGCTCACCTGCGTTGCTAGCACGCTCACCTGCGTTGCTAGCACGCTCACCTGCGTTGCTAGCACGCTCACCTGCGTTGCTAGCACGCTCACCTGCGTTGCTAGCACGCTCTGCTGCGTTGCTAGCACGCTCTGCTGCGTTGCTAGCACGCTCTGCTGCGTTGCTAGCACGCTCTGCTGCGTTGCTAGCACGCTCTGCTGCGTTGCTAGCACGCTCTGCTGCGTTGCTAGCACGCTCTGCTGCGTTGCTAGCACGCTCTGCTGCGTTGCTAGCACGCTCTGCTGCGTTGCTAGCACGCTCTGCTGCGTTGCTAGCACGCTCACCTGCGTTGCTAGCACGCTCACCTGCGTTGCTAGCACGCTCACCTGCGTTGCTAGCACGCTCACCTGCGTTGCTAGCACGCTCACCTGCGTTGCTAGCACGCTCACCTGCGTTGCTAGCACGCTCACCTGCGTTGCTAGCACGCTCACCTGCGTTGCTAGCACGCTCACCTGCGTTGCTAGCACGCTCACCTGCGTTGCTAGCACGCTCACCTGCGTTGCTAGCACGCTCACCTGCGTTGCTAGCACGCTCACCTGCGTTGCTAGCACGCTCACCTGCGTTGCTAGCACGCTCACCTGCGTTGCTAGCACGCTCACCTGCGTTGCTAGCACGCTCACCTGCGTTGCTAGCACGCTCTGCTGCGTTGCTAGCACGCTCTGCTGCGTTGCTAGCACGCTCTGCTGCGTTGCTAGCACGCTCTGCTGCGTTGCTAGCACGCTCTGCTGCGTTGCTAGCACGCTCTGCTGCGTTGCTAGCACGCTCTGCTGCGTTGCTAGCACGCTCTGCTGCGTTGCTAGCACGCTCTGCTGCGTTGCTAGCACGCTCTGCTGCGTTGCTAGCACGCTCTGCTGCGTTGCTAGCACGCTCTGCTGCGTTGCTAGCACGCTCTGCTGCGTTGCTAGCACGCTCTGCTGCGTTGCTAGCACGCTCACCTGCGTTGCTAGCACGCTCACCTGCGTTGCTAGCACGCTCTGCTGCGTTGCTAGCACGCTCTGCTGCGTTGCTAGCACGCTCTGCTGCGTTGCTAGCACGCTCTGCTGCGTTGCTAGCACGCTCTGCTGCGTTGCTAGCACGCTCACCTGCGTTGCTAGCACGCTCACCTGCGTTGCTAGCACGCTCACCTGCGTTGCTAGCACGCTCACCTGCGTTGCTAGCACGCTCTGCTGCGTTGCTAGCACGCTCTGCTGCGTTGCTAGCACGCTCTGCTGCGTTGCTAGCACGCTCTGCTGCGTTGCTAGCACGCTCTGCTGCGTTGCTAGCACGCTCTGCTGCGTTGCTAGCACGCTCTGCTGCGTTGCTAGCACGCTCTGCTGCGTTGCTAGCACGCTCTGCTGCGTTGCTAGCACGCTCTGCTGCGTTGCTAGCACGCTCTGCTGCGTTGCTAGCACGCTCTGCTGCGTTGCTAGCACGCTCTGCTGCGTTGCTAGCACGCTCTGCTGCGTTGCTAGCACGCTCTGCTGCGTTGCTAGCACGCTCTGCTGCGTTGCTAGCACGCTCTGCTGCGTTGCTAGCACGCTCAGCTGCGTTGCTAGCACGCTCTGCTGCGTTGCTAGCACGCTCACCTGCGTTGCTAGCACGCTCAGCTGCGTTGCTAGCACGCTCAGCTGCGTTGCTAGCACGCTCTGCTGCGTTGCTAGCACGCTCTGCTGCGTTGCTAGCACGCTCTGCTGCGTTGCTAGCACGCTCTGCTGCGTTGCTAGCACGCTCTGCTGCGTTGCTAGCACGCTCTGCTGCGTTGCTAGCACGCTCTGCTGCGTTGCTAGCACGCTCTGCTGCGTTGCTAGCACGCTCTGCTGCGTTGCTAGCACGCTCACCTGCGTTGCTAGCACGCTCACCTGCGTTGCTAGCACGCTCACCTGCGTTGCTAGCACGCTCACCTGCGTTGCTAGCACGCTCACCTGCGTTGCTAGCACGCTCACCTGCGTTGCTAGCACGCTCACCTGCGTTGCTAGCACGCTCACCTGCGTTGCTAGCACGCTCACCTGCGTTGCTAGCACGCTCACCTGCGTTGCTAGCACGCTCACCTGCGTTGCTAGCACGCTCACCTGCGTTGCTAGCACGCTCACCTGCGTTGCTAGCACGCTCACCTGCGTTGCTAGCACGCTCACCTGCGTTGCTAGCACGCTCACCTGCGTTGCTAGCACGCTCTGCTGCGTTGCTAGCACGCTCTGCTGCGTTGCTAGCACGCTCTGCTGCGTTGCTAGCACGCTCTGCTGCGTTGCTAGCACGCTCTGCTGCGTTGCTAGCACGCTCTGCTGCGTTGCTAGCACGCTCTGCTGCGTTGCTAGCACGCTCTGCTGCGTTGCTAGCACGCTCACCTGCGTTGCTAGCACGCTCACCTGCGTTGCTAGCACGCTCACCTGCGTTGCTAGCACGCTCACCTGCGTTGCTAGCACGCTCACCTGCGTTGCTAGCACGCTCACCTGCGTTGCTAGCACGCTCACCTGCGTTGCTAGCACGCTCACCTGCGTTGCTAGCACGCTCACCTGCGTTGCTAGCACGCTCACCTGCGTTGCTAGCACGCTCACCTGCGTTGCTAGCACGCTCACCTGCGTTGCTAGCACGCTCACCTGCGTTGCTAGCACGCTCACCTGCGTTGCTAGCACGCTCACCTGCGTTGCTAGCACGCTCACCTGCGTTGCTAGCACGCTCACCTGCGTTGCTAGCACGCTCACCTGCGTTGCTAGCACGCTCTGCTGCGTTGCTAGCACGCTCTGCTGCGTTGCTAGCACGCTCTGCTGCGTTGCTAGCACGCTCTGCTGCGTTGCTAGCACGCTCTGCTGCGTTGCTAGCACGCTCTGCTGCGTTGCTAGCACGCTCTGCTGCGTTGCTAGCACGCTCTGCTGCGTTGCTAGCACGCTCTGCTGCGTTGCTAGCACGCTCTGCTGCGTTGCTAGCACGCTCTGCTGCGTTGCTAGCACGCTCTGCTGCGTTGCTAGCACGCTCTGCTGCGTTGCTAGCACGCTCTGCTGCGTTGCTAGCACGCTCACCTGCGTTGCTAGCACGCTCACCTGCGTTGCTAGCACGCTCTGCTGCGTTGCTAGCACGCTCTGCTGCGTTGCTAGCACGCTCTGCTGCGTTGCTAGCACGCTCTGCTGCGTTGCTAGCACGCTCTGCTGCGTTGCTAGCACGCTCACCTGCGTTGCTAGCACGCTCACCTGCGTTGCTAGCACGCTCACCTGCGTTGCTAGCACGCTCACCTGCGTTGCTAGCACGCTCTGCTGCGTTGCTAGCACGCTCTGCTGCGTTGCTAGCACGCTCTGCTGCGTTGCTAGCACGCTCTGCTGCGTTGCTAGCACGCTCTGCTGCGTTGCTAGCACGCTCTGCTGCGTTGCTAGCACGCTCTGCTGCGTTGCTAGCACGCTCTGCTGCGTTGCTAGCACGCTCTGCTGCGTTGCTAGCACGCTCTGCTGCGTTGCTAGCACGCTCTGCTGCGTTGCTAGCACGCTCAGCTGCGTTGCTAGCACGCTCTGCTGCGTTGCTAGCACGCTCTGCTGCGTTGCTAGCACGCTCACCTGCGTTGCTAGCACGCTCAGCTGCGTTGCTAGCACGCTCAGCTGCGTTGCTAGCACGCTCTGCTGCGTTGCTAGCACGCTCTGCTGCGTTGCTAGCACGCTCTGCTGCGTTGCTAGCACGCTCTGCTGCGTTGCTAGCACGCTCTGCTGCGTTGCTAGCACGCTCTGCTGCGTTGCTAGCACGCTCTGCTGCGTTGCTAGCACGCTCTGCTGCGTTGCTAGCACGCTCTGCTGCGTTGCTAGCACGCTCACCTGCGTTGCTAGCACGCTCACCTGCGTTGCTAGCACGCTCACCTGCGTTGCTAGCACGCTCACCTGCGTTGCTAGCACGCTCACCTGCGTTGCTAGCACGCTCACCTGCGTTGCTAGCACGCTCACCTGCGTTGCTAGCACGCTCACCTGCGTTGCTAGCACGCTCACCTGCGTTGCTAGCACGCTCACCTGCGTTGCTAGCACGCTCACCTGCGTTGCTAGCACGCTCACCTGCGTTGCTAGCACGCTCACCTGCGTTGCTAGCACGCTCACCTGCGTTGCTAGCACGCTCACCTGCGTTGCTAGCACGCTCACCTGCGTTGCTAGCACGCTCACCTGCGTTGCTAGCACGCTCACCTGCGTTGCTAGCACGCTCTGCTGCGTTGCTAGCACGCTCTGCTGCGTTGCTAGCACGCTCTGCTGCGTTGCTAGCACGCTCTGCTGCGTTGCTAGCACGCTCTGCTGCGTTGCTAGCACGCTCTGCTGCGTTGCTAGCACGCTCTGCTGCGTTGCTAGCACGCTCTGCTGCGTTGCTAGCACGCTCACCTGCGTTGCTAGCACGCTCACCTGCGTTGCTAGCACGCTCACCTGCGTTGCTAGCACGCTCACCTGCGTTGCTAGCACGCTCACCTGCGTTGCTAGCACGCTCACCTGCGTTGCTAGCACGCTCACCTGCGTTGCTAGCACGCTCACCTGCGTTGCTAGCACGCTCACCTGCGTTGCTAGCACGCTCACCTGCGTTGCTAGCACGCTCACCTGCGTTGCTAGCACGCTCACCTGCGTTGCTAGCACGCTCACCTGCGTTGCTAGCACGCTCACCTGCGTTGCTAGCACGCTCACCTGCGTTGCTAGCACGCTCACCTGCGTTGCTAGCACGCTCACCTGCGTTGCTAGCACGCTCACCTGCGTTGCTAGCACGCTCACCTGCGTTGCTAGCACGCTCACCTGCGTTGCTAGCACGCTCACCTGCGTTGCTAGCACGCTCTGCTGCGTTGCTAGCACGCTCTGCTGCGTTGCTAGCACGCTCTGCTGCGTTGCTAGCACGCTCTGCTGCGTTGCTAGCACGCTCTGCTGCGTTGCTAGCACGCTCTGCTGCGTTGCTAGCACGCTCTGCTGCGTTGCTAGCACGCTCTGCTGCGTTGCTAGCACGCTCTGCTGCGTTGCTAGCACGCTCTGCTGCGTTGCTAGCACGCTCTGCTGCGTTGCTAGCACGCTCTGCTGCGTTGCTAGCACGCTCTGCTGCGTTGCTAGCACGCTCAGCTGCGTTGCTAGCACGCTCACCTGCGTTGCTAGCACGCTCAGCTGCGTTGCTAGCACGCTCTGCTGCGTTGCTAGCACGCTCTGCTGCGTTGCTAGCACGCTCTGCTGCGTTGCTAGCACGCTCTGCTGCGTTGCTAGCACGCTCTGCTGCGTTGCTAGCACGCTCACCTGCGTTGCTAGCACGCTCACCTGCGTTGCTAGCACGCTCACCTGCGTTGCTAGCACGCTCACCTGCGTTGCTAGCACGCTCTGCTGCGTTGCTAGCACGCTCTGCTGCGTTGCTAGCACGCTCTGCTGCGTTGCTAGCACGCTCTGCTGCGTTGCTAGCACGCTCTGCTGCGTTGCTAGCACGCTCAGCTGCGTTGCTAGCACGCTCAGCTGCGTTGCTAGCACGCTCACCTGCGTTGCTAGCACGCTCACCTGCGTTGCTAGCACGCTCACCTGCGTTGCTAGCACGCTCACCTGCGTTGCTAGCACGCTCTGCTGCGTTGCTAGCACGCTCTGCTGCGTTGCTAGCACGCTCACCTGCGTTGCTAGCACGCTCACCTGCGTTGCTAGCACGCTCACCTGCGTTGCTAGCACGCTCACCTGCGTTGCTAGCACGCTCACCTGCGTTGCTAGCACGCTCACCTGCGTTGCTAGCACGCTCACCTGCGTTGCTAGCACGCTCACCTGCGTTGCTAGCACGCTCACCTGCGTTGCTAGCACGCTCACCTGCGTTGCTAGCACGCTCACCTGCGTTGCTAGCACGCTCACCTGCGTTGCTAGCACGCTCACCTGCGTTGCTAGCACGCTCTGCTGCGTTGCTAGCACGCTCTGCTGCGTTGCTAGCACGCTCTGCTGCGTTGCTAGCACGCTCTGCTGCGTTGCTAGCACGCTCTGCTGCGTTGCTAGCACGCTCAGCTGCGTTGCTAGCACGCTCACCTGCGTTGCTAGCACGCTCACCTGCGTTGCTAGCACGCTCACCTGCGTTGCTAGCACGCTCACCTGCGTTGCTAGCACGCTCACCTGCGTTGCTAGCACGCTCTGCTGCGTTGCTAGCACGCTCTGCTGCGTTGCTAGCACGCTCTGCTGCGTTGCTAGCACGCTCTGCTGCGTTGCTAGCACGCTCAGCTGCGTTGCTAGCACGCTCTGCTGCGTTGCTAGCACGCTCTGCTGCGTTGCTAGCACGCTCAGCTGCGTTGCTAGCACGCTCTGCTGCGTTGCTAGCACGCTCTGCTGCGTTGCTAGCACGCTCTGCTGCGTTGCTAGCACGCTCACCTGCGTTGCTAGCACGCTCACCTGCGTTGCTAGCACGCTCACCTGCGTTGCTAGCACGCTCACCTGCGTTGCTAGCACGCTCACCTGCGTTGCTAGCACGCTCTGCTGCGTTGCTAGCACGCTCTGCTGCGTTGCTAGCACGCTCTGCTGCGTTGCTAGCACGCTCTGCTGCGTTGCTAGCACGCTCACCTGCGTTGCTAGCACGCTCTGCTGCGTTGCTAGCACGCTCACCTGCGTTGCTAGCACGCTCTGCTGCGTTGCTAGCACGCTCACCTGCGTTGCTAGCACGCTCACCTGCGTTGCTAGCACGCTCACCTGCGTTGCTAGCACGCTCACCTGCGTTGCTAGCACGCTCACCTGCGTTGCTAGCACGCTCACCTGCGTTGCTAGCACGCTCACCTGCGTTGCTAGCACGCTCTGCTGCGTTGCTAGCACGCTCTGCTGCGTTGCTAGCACGCTCTGCTGCGTTGCTAGCACGCTCACCTGCGTTGCTAGCACGCTCACCTGCGTTGCTAGCACGCTCACCTGCGTTGCTAGCACGCTCAGCTGCGTTGCTAGCACGCTCTGCTGCGTTGCTAGCACGCTCACCTGCGTTGCTAGCACGCTCTGCTGCGTTGCTAGCACGCTCACCTGCGTTGCTAGCACGCTCTGCTGCGTTGCTAGCACGCTCACCTGCGTTGCTAGCACGCTCTGCTGCGTTGCTAGCACGCTCACCTGCGTTGCTAGCACGCTCACCTGCGTTGCTAGCACGCTCACCTGCGTTGCTAGCACGCTCACCTGCGTTGCTAGCACGCTCTGCTGCGTTGCTAGCACGCTCTGCTGCGTTGCTAGCACGCTCTGCTGCGTTGCTAGCACGCTCTGCTGCGTTGTTAGCACGCTCTGCTGCGCTGCTAGGACGCTCTGCTGCGTTGCTAGCACGCTCAGCTGCGTTGCTAGCACGCTCAGCTGCGTTGCTAGCACGCTCTGCTGCGTTGCTAGCACGCTCAGGTGCGTTGCTAGCACACTCAGGTGCGTTGCTAGCACGCTCAGCTGCGTTGCTAGCACGCTCTGCTGCGTTGCTAGCACGCTCTGCTGCGTTGCTAGCACGCTCTGCTGCGTTGCTAGCACGCTCTGCTGCGTTGCTAGCACGCTCTGCTGCGTTGCTAGCACGCTCTGCTGCGTTGCTAGCACGCTCTGCTGCGTTGCTAGCACGCTCTGCTGCGTTGCTAGCACGCTCTGCTGCGTTGCTAGCACGCTCTGCTGCGTTGCTAGCACGCTCTGCTGCGTTGCTAGCACGCTCTGCTGTATTGCTAGCACGCTCTGCTGCGTTGCTAGCACGCTCTGCTGCGTTGCTAGCACGCTCTGCTGCGTTGCTAGCACGCTCACCTGCGTTGCTAGCACGCTCTGCTGCGTTGCTAGCACGCTCACCTGCGTTGCTAGCACGCTCACCTGCGTTGCTAGCACGCTCACCTGCGTTGCTAGCACGCTCACCTGCGTTGCTAGCACGCTCTGCTGCGTTGCTAGCACGCTCAGCTGCGTTGCTAGCACGCTCAGCTGCGTTGCTAGCACGCTCTGCTGCGTTGCTAGCACGCTCTGCTGCGTTGCTAGCACGCTCTGCTGCGTTGCTAGCACGCTCAGCTGCGTTGCTAGCACGCTCAGCTGCGTTGCTAGCACGCTCAGCTGCGTTGCTAGCACGCTCAGCTGCGTTGCTAGCACGCTCAGCTGCGTTGCTAGCACGCTCTGCTGCGTTGCTAGCACGCTCTGCTGCGTTGCTAGCACGCTCTGCTGCGTTGCTAGCACGCTCTGCTGCGTTGCTAGCACGCTCTGCTGCGTTGCTAGCACGCTCTGCTGCGTTGCTAGCACGCTCAGCTGCGTTGCTAGCACGCTCAGCTGCGTTGCTAGCACGCTCTGCTGCGTTGCTAGCACGCTCTGCTGCGTTGCTAGCACGCTCTGCTGCGTTGCTAGCACGCTCTGCTGCGTTGCTAGCACGCTCTGCTGCGTTGCTAGCACGCTCACCTGCGTTGCTAGCACGCTCACCTGCGTTGCTAGCACGCTCAGCTGCGTTGCTAGCACGCTCTGCTGCGTTGCTAGCACGCTCTGCTGCGTTGCTAGCACGCTCAGCTGCGTTGCTAGCACGCTCAGCTGCGTTGCTAGCACGCTCAGCTGCGTTGCTAGCACGCTCTGCTGCGTTGCTAGCACGCTCTGCTGCGTTGCTAGCACGCTCAGCTGCGTTGCTAGCACGCTCAGCTGCGTTGCTAGCACGCTCAGCTGCGTTGCTAGCACGCTCAGCTGCGTTGCTAGCACGCTCAGCTGCGTTGCTAGCACGCTCTGCTGCGTTGCTAGCACGCTCTGCTGCGTTGCTAGCACGCTCTGCTGCGTTGCTAGCACGCTCTGCTGCGTTGCTAGCACGCTCTGCTGCGTTGCTAGCACGCTCTGCTGCGTTGCTAGCACGCTCTGCTGCGTTGCTAGCACGCTCTGCTGCGTTGCTAGCACAAACAACGCTGCCCGCTGGGTCCGTGGCGAAGACATGCCTGGAGGATGGTGGGGAGGTGGGAAGAATGGTGACAGGGATGGTGAGGAGAACGCACCATGCACCATGCACCATGCGCCATGTCTCCATCGTTCCCTCACACGCACCTGTCACTCAGGCTGCAGCACCAGAAGGTTCCAAGAAGCCGCCTTGCCTGGTGCGCCTCCCACTCACTCCACCAATGCACGTCCACCTCTCCCAACTCACTTGCCCGCCCTCCCTCCCCTCCCACTCCCCCTTGCCCCCCTTCCTCAGGTGCACCTTCCGCCCCTTGTTTCCCCCCATCCCCCCCACCCTCCCCATCCCCCGCCCTGTCTGCATGCATGGGGTGGGGAGGGGGGGCCCAGAGGGAGAGGGAGAGGGCCACAGCCTTCCCCATGCCAAACCCACACACACACCACCCGCCACGCCCCTCCCTCTCCCGCCCCTGCCCCGATCCTCCTGATTCCTTCCGTCCCTGCTCCTCGTCGTCCTCCTTCTCTTCTCCTCCTCCTCTGCACTCCCTTCCTCTCTTTCCACGTGGAGGCACACAATTGGCCCGCGGGAAGCATGGGAAGCAGATGGTGGGGCGGCGGGCAGGAGGACAGTGGGGGCGGGGCAGGGCGAGGAGGGGGAGGCGGGGAGGCGGAGGAGGAGCAGCGCGCCCTGTTTGGTGGCGAGGAAGAGCAGGTGAGGCGAGGCGAGGGCGAGACAGCGGATGAACTCGCTCTTGCTGACGGGGAGAGAGGGGGGTTTGATGCGGTGGTGGGAGGGAGGGAGGGAGGGCGGAATCATGGGGAGATGCGTTGATGGGGGAGACAAGGCAAGCTGATGGGCATGTAACAGGCATGTGATGGTGCAACGAGTAGCACGGGCATGTCAGGCTGACCCACCTATCCTTGCGACCAGTGTCTCCCTCCGCCCCTGCCTCCCCCTCTATGACAGCACCAGCGGCGGCAGCAGCAGAGGCGAGGGCGATGGAGCTGGCTGTGAGGGCGGCGGTGGGTGAGACGCGCAGCAGCAGCGCGTCCAGAGGGGGGTGCCATGACAGGGCAGGGGCCACGGTGGATGGGAGAGCGCGTGGGGAGGGCAGGGGGGAGGGCAGGGGGGAGGGCAGGGCGGGGAGGGCGTGCAGGTTGATGGCGGCGTCCGCCCCCCCTGTGATGAGCATGCGCGTGGGGGGATGCACCACACACCGCCATATGCCCCGCCCCCTGCTCGCCCATGCAGGGATAGACGGTTGAGGGCAGCACGGGAGGGAGGGAAAAGGGCGCAGATGGAGAGAACGGGGTGAGGAAGCATGAGACAGCGGCAAAGAAGAAGGAAATGAACTGACTGCGGTAGTTGCAGTAGGAGTGTACGTGAGTAAGTGAGGTGTTCACTCTTGAAATGGCTGATACAGTGGATGGCGCTCACTGGTGTGCAGGGATGAGGGCAAGCACGCGGCCATCTTGCATGCCCCACACGCGTGCCGTGCAGTCCTCACTCACTGTCACTGCCACCTGCCACCGCGGGAGGGGAAGAGGGGGATGCGGACGTGGGGGCGTAGAGGCAGTGGGGGGAAAGAGGGTAGGGAAGGGGGTCGGGTGGCATGGGAGCATGGTGGAATAGTGGAAGAGTGGAATAGTGGAAAGGCGACGCCACACTAGGGCGCATATACAGAGTGGAAAGGAAGCAGTTGTGAAGAGGAAGTGAGGAGAGGTTGGGGGTGATGGAAACGGACAGGAGAAACAGAGGACAGGGCGGCAGAGGAGGAGGGGGAGGGGGGAGTAGGGGGCATGTAAGCACCTGGGAATCGAGATGCGCGTCCCAGAGGCGAGCCCCGTGGCCGAACAGCACCCTGTGCGCTGAACTGCACTCCACCGTGCCTGTAAAACCCCCACCGCAGGACGACTGCTCCTCACAGCTGCCCGCGTGCAATACCTGTGCTGCCCTTGCAGGCATGGCCACACGCCACACACGTGCACTGCATGGGGACACGCAGGAGGAGATGCACGCAGAGCCAGCAAGCTGATATGGTTTAGGGACTGAATCAGGGAGACAACAGGGACTGAATCAGAGTGACAACAGGGACTGAATCAGAGTGACAACAGGGACTGAATCAGAGTGACAACAGGGACTGAGTCAGAGTGACAACAGGGACTGAATCAGGGTGACAACAGGGACTGAATCAGGGTGACAACAGGGACTGAATCAGAGTGACAACAGGGACTGAATCAGGGTGACAACAGGGACTGAATCAGGGTGACAACAGGGACTGAATCAGAGTGACAACAGGGACTGAATCAGAGTGACAACAGGGACTGAATCAGAGTGACAACAGGGACTGAATCAGAGTGACAACAGGGACTGAATCAGAGTGACAACAGGGACTGAGTCAGAGTGACAACAGGGACTGAATCAGGGTGACAACACGGACTGAATCAGGGTGACAACGGAGACTGAATCAGGGTGACAACAGGGACTGAATCAGGGTGACAACAGGGACTGAATCAGGGTGACAACAGGGACTGAATCAGAGTGACAACAGGGACTGAATCAGAGTGACAACAGGGACTGAATCAGAGTGACAACAGGGACTGAATCAGAGTGACAACAGGGACTGAATCAGAGTGACAACAGGGACTGAATCAGAGTGACAACAGGGACTGAGTCAGAGTGACAACAGGGACTGAATCAGGGTGACAACACGGACAGAATCAGGGTGACAACGGAGACTGAATCAGGGTGACAACAGGGACTGAATCAGGGTGACAACAGGGACTGAATCAGGGTGACAACAGGGACTGAATCAGAGTGACAACAGGGACTGAATCAGAGTGACAACAGGGACTGAATCAGAGTGACAACAGGGACTGAATCAGAGTGACAACAGGGACTGAGTCAGAGTGACAACAGGGACTGAATCAGAGTGACAACAGGGACTGAATCAGAGTGACAACAGGGACTGAAGCAGGGTGACAACAGGGACTGAGTCAGAGTGACAACAGGGACTGAATCAGAGTGACAACAGGGACTGAATCAGAGTGACAACAGGGACTGAATCAGGGTGACAACAGGGACTGAATCAGAGTGACAACAGGGACTGAATCAGAGTGACAACAGGGACTGAATCAGAGTGACAACAGGGACTGAATCAGGGTGACAACAGGGACTGAATCAGGGTGACAACGGAGACTGAATCAGGGTGACAACAGGGACTGAATCAGAGTGACAACAGGGACTGAATCAGAGTGACAACAGGGACTGAATCAGAGTGACAACAGGGACTGAATCAGAGTGACAACAGGGACTGAATCAGAGTGACAACAGGGACTGAATCAGAGTGACAACAGGGACTGAATCAGAGTGACAACAGGGACTGAGTCAGAGTGACAACAGGGACTGAATCAGAGTGACAACAGGGACTGAATCAGAGTGACAACAGGGACTGAATCAGGGTGACAACAGGGACTGAATCAGAGTGACAACAGGGACTGAGTCAGAGTGACAACAGGGACTGAATCAGGGTGACAACACGGACTGAATCAGGGTGACAACGGAGACTGAATCAGGGTGACAACAGGGACTGAATCAGGGTGACAACAGGGACTGAATCAGGGTGACAACAGGGACTGAATCAGAGTGACAACAGGGACTGAATCAGAGTGACAACAGGGACTGAATCAGAGTGACAACAGGGACTGAATCAGAGTGACAACAGGGACTGAGTCAGAGTGACAACAGGGACTGAATCAGAGTGACAACAGGGACTGAATCAGAGTGACAACAGGGACTGAAGCAGGGTGACAACAGGGACTGAGTCAGAGTGACAACAGGGACTGAATCAGAGTGACAACAGGGACTGAATCAGAGTGACAACAGGGACTGAATCAGGGTGACAACAGGGACTGAATCAGAGTGACAACAGGGACTGAATCAGAGTGACAACAGGGACTGAATCAGAGTGACAACAGGGACTGAATCAGGGTGACAACAGGGACTGAATCAGGGTGACAACGGAGACTGAATCAGGGTGACAACAGGGACTGAATCAGAGTGACAACAGGGACTGAATCAGAGTGACAACAGGGACTGAATCAGAGTGACAACAGGGACTGAATCAGAGTGACAACAGGGACTGAATCAGAGTGACAACAGGGACTGAATCAGAGTGACAACAGGGACTGAATCAGAGTGACAACAGGGACTGAGTCAGAGTGACAACAGGGACTGAATCAGAGTGACAACAGGGACTGAAGCAGGGTGACAACAGGGACTGAGTCAGAGTGACAACAGGGACTGAATCAGAGTGACAACAGGGACTGAATCAGAGTGACAACAGGGACTGAATCAGGGTGACAACAGGGACTGAATCAGAGTGACAACAGGGACTGAATCAGAGTGACAACAGGGACTGAATCAGAGTGACAACAGGGACTGAATCAGGGTGACAACAGGGACTGAATCAGGGTGACAACGGAGACTGAATCAGGGTGACAACAGGGACTGAATCAGAGTGACAACAGGGACTGAATCAGAGTGACAACAGGGACTGAATCAGAGTGACAACAGGGACTGAATCAGAGTGACAACAGGGACTGAATCAGAGTGACAACAGGGACTGAATCAGAGTGACAACAGGGACTGAATCAGAGTGACAACAGGGACTGAATCAAGGAGACAACAGGGACTGAATCAGGGTGACAACAGGGACTGAATCAGGGAGACAACAGGGACTGAATCAGAGTGACAACAGGGACTGAATCAGGGTGACAACAGGGACTGAATCAGAGTGACAACAGGGACTGAATCAGGGTGACAACAGGGACTGAATCAGGGTGACAACAGGGACTGAATCAGGGTGACAACAGGGACTGAATCAGAGTGACAACAGGGACTGAATCAGAGTGACAACAGGGACTGAATCAGGGTGACAACAGGGACTGAATCAGGGTGACAACAGGGACTGAATCAGAGTGACAACAGGGACTGAATCAGAGTGACAACAGGGACTGAATCAGAGTGACAACAGGGACTGAATCAGGGTGACAACAGGGACTGAATCAGAGTGACAACAGGGACTGAATCAGGGTGACAACAGGGACTGAATCAGGGTGACAACAGGGACTGAATCAGAGTGACAACAGGGACTGAATCAGAGTGACAACAGGGACTGAATCAGAGTGACAACAGGGACTGAATCAGAGTGACAACAGGGACTGAATCAGAGTGACAACAGGGACTGAATCAGGGTGATAACACGGACTGAATCAGGGTGACAACGGAGACTGAATCAGGGTGACAACAGGGACTGAATCAGGGTGACAACAGGGACTGAATCAGGGTGACAACAGGGACTGAATCAGAGTGACAACAGGGACTGAATCAGAGTGACAACAGGGACTGAATCAGAGTGACAACAGGGACTGAGTCAGAGTGACAACAGGGACTGAATCAGGGTGACAACAGGGACTGAATCAGGGTGACAACAGGGACTGAATCAGGGTGACAACAGGGACTGAATCAGGGTGACAACAGGGACTGAATCAGGGTGACAACAGGGACTGAATCAGAGTGACAACAGGGACTGAATCAGAGTGACAACAGGGACTGAATCAGAGTGACAACAGGGACTGAATCAGAGTGACAACAGGGACTGAATCAGAGTGACAACAGGGACTGAATCAGAGTGACAACAGGGACTGAATCAGAGTGACAACAGGGACTGAATCAGGGTGACAACAGGGACTGAATCAGGGTGACAACGGAGACTGAATCAGGGTGACAACAGGGACTGAATCAGGGTGACAACAGGGACTGAATCAGGGTGACAACAGGGACTGAATCAGAGTGACAACAGGGACTGAATCAGAGTGACAACAGGGACTGAATCAGAGTGACAACAGGGACTGAATCAGAGTGACAACAGGGACTGAGTCAGAGTGACAACAGGGACTGAATCAGAGTGACAACAGGGACTGAATCAGAGTGACAACAGGGACTGAATCAGGGTGACAACAGGGACTGAGTCAGAGTGACAACAGGGACTGAATCAGAGTGACAACAGGGACTGAATCAGAGTGACAACAGGGACTGAATCAGGGTGACAACAGGGACTGAATCAGAGTGACAACAGGGACTGAATCAGAGTGACAACAGGGACTGAATCAGAGTGACAACAGGGACTGAATCAGGGTGACAACAGGGACTGAATCAGGGTGACAACGGAGACTGAATCAGGGTGACAACAGGGACTGAATCAGAGTGACAACAGGGACTGAATCAGAGTGACAACAGGGACTGAATCAGAGTGACAACAGGGACTGAATCAGAGTGACAACAGGGACTGAATCAGAGTGACAACAGGGACTGAATCAGAGTGACAACAGGGACTGAATCAGAGTGACAACAGGGACTGAGTCAGAGTGACAACAGGGACTGAATCAGAGTGACAACAGGGACTGAATCAGAGTGACAACAGGGACTGAATCAGGGTGACAACAGGGACTGAATCAGAGTGACAACAGGGACTGAGTCAGAGTGACAACAGGGACTGAATCAGGGTGACAACAGGGACTGAATCAGGGTGACAACAGGGACTGAATCAGGGTGACAACAGGGACTGAATCAGGGTGACAACAGGGACTGAATCAGGGTGACAACAGGGACTGAAT